AGTAGCTGATTCCTGTCTGTGTGGAGGAGGTCTTCTAAAAGTGTCAAACTCCACTTCTGCTCTTCGCAGTTCATTTATTTTTTGGCTTACACACACACACACACACACACACACACACACACACACGCAATCTGCCCGCTGTGATTTTGATGAAAGGTTGGAAAATTCAACGCTCGCTCTACTTTCCAATTCCCACCCAAACTGACGGCATACTTTAAATAACACATCTGCAGATAATAAACTGTAGAATAAAACCGCACTAAAACCCATGTAAGCCAACATGTATGACTGCATGTTTACATATTATATTTGTGTTCTTCTATTGAGCTAGCTAACCAACAACACACCCCAAAAAACACACTGAGCAATCTATCTGGAATTGGTACCCATTAAATTCAATAAACCCTGAGAGGTCTTGCTTTAATTTGTACCTCTGCATTAACATGATAATACACAATCTGCTCGCTGCATTCCCCCGACACACATGAACACAGACATGCTAATGCGCATACACATCCCTGGACACACTCTTGTACATTAAAGTGATGCATGCACACACACGTACACACTTCTCACAGATAAAAAGCACACATAAATAAATGATAAGGATTAGAATATCATTTTCTGTTGACCAGGGTGATTTATATTCTGCCTGAGAGGACGCAAGAAGGAAGCTCACTTCATGTCCCCCTAATGACATCCACATTGTTCTCCTGGGAGTTGGACAGCCACCATATTAAACCACTGCCCTCCACATGCTCAACCCCCCTCCATACATCTCACTGCTTTTGATTTTGGACATGAAAGGAGTCCCAATTATGACAAAGAGATTCAAAAGTGAATCTTGACTGAGGCTGCAGCACCTATAACTGCTTTTTTAGCCGGTTGTAACAAATACAAGCCTGTTGTTCGCACCGGCTGATGGAGCCGTCTGTGCCTTTGCCCTGCAGCAATGATCCTGTATGCTTGAATGGCCGCATATTTATTACCCTAAATCACAAAGATGAGCCACAACAGAGATGAAGGTGTCCCATTATTATTAGAGTGCAACACATGTGTCTTCACCCTCTTTACTCTAATTCAATTCTCCTATTTGGATGGTGGATCTACAGTAAGATGGTGGAGTAAATATAATAGAAAATATGGACGATTAAGTGTTAAAGCATCCAGAAAGGATACTGAAACATTCACTAATAAGAGAGGGAACAGTTCAAAGCTGTCTTTATTTATTGGGAAGCTACAATAAACGTATGTTGTCTATTCCAGGGCAGGAAAATTAAAGGCTGGTAAAGGTTATAAGTGACTAGAATGGCCCTTTACAGTAATTCAATTTTGTGGAAATATTGTAAACAAATGATATAATGCAATTCATTTCAGGTTAGAGAGTTATAAAAGTCACTTTATTTAAGGCTCTACTTGGAATTTCATTGTAACTGTCAACTGGAGGTCATCCTAATTTGTATTTACCGCTACAGAACATCACTGCACACAAGACTAAAAACCACTGGTCGGCTCCGTCTGTGGATTGTCACTGTGAGAGCATCTGTGTATGTGCTGTACACTAATCTCTGGCTTTACATGACAATACTGCCCACTCCTCTTTTTGTTTCCTTTCCAGCAAATGGCAGCGGGCGACCTTGAACAACCTTGGTTATAGCAAGCGCGTCTCACGGGAAGACGAACGACCTTCATTCTCCAGCAAGACCGCGTGCCATTGGCTGCCGGTGGACAGAGCAGGCGTGCCCACAGAGGACACCCACCACAGGGAAGTGAGGAGGAGAGCATGTGAGACACTCCTACCACCACCTGCTCTTCATGCCTTCAGGTTAAGTTGTAGCGCTGCCTGCTTTCACCATGGACTTTTTGGGAGAACAATTCACACACATTACTGGATGTATTCTGCTCCCCCTACATGAAACCTGCAAGGGCTTGAAAAAAAACTGATAAGACTTTGCAAAGAAAAGTCTGGATTTAAGATGCTTTTGTTTCTTGAATCTGATGGTTTACACAGAAGGATAATGTATTTGGATCTAATATACATTTAATGCGTTATTCCTTCTTGTTCTCTCTGTTTCATGTCATCTGTGTGCAGCCGTTTGTGTTGATGGCACTTTAATTGCTTGGAATTCCCTAACATGCCAGGTCCACCACCAACAAGATAATTATTCCCTAACCAGCTGGCAGGTCAGCACGGAATTTGTTACATGTGTTAAATAGGAAGCTGTAGAATTACATTCAACATGATAATTTATGACAGAAACACACATGTGCTGCTTAACTTTAGGAAACAGGAGCCCCAAATCATCTCACCATTTTCTTTGTTAGCAGTAATAATAATAAAGATACATGAACAGGCATTTCAAGTACAGCTGAAAATAAAACTACAGCGTTCCCAGTTGTTTCAAATGTTACTTTTCAAATAGCTGTGTGGGAAGGGAAGCAGAGGAGCAGAGAGACAGTAGAGGCACAAAAGCAGAACAAAGAGGAGAAGTAATGGGTGTAAAAAAAAAAGAGGACAGAGAGGTGATCAGCAGGAGAGGTAAAGGGAGGATGGGAGATCCTGCAGAGAAGCTTCTGCTATCATGCTGATAAACTCCCATCTACCTGTACATCAAACTGCATGGTTTCTACTGGGTGTGAGACACGTTTTACCTTACTGTAGCTTTATCACTATTGTCTTTTATCTTTCCTTAGTTTTATTGTGGTCAGTGAGAGCAAAGACAAAGCACAGATGACAAGGATGTATCTGAAGAAGGCAAAAACATTTCAGGGAAGCATTATTTGGGCCATTCTCATGTTTTGTGCATTAAATATAAGACTATGTCCAGAAGCTGGTAAGGTTAGCTTAGCATAAAGACTGTAAAAAAGGGAAACAGCTAGTCTGGCTCAGTCCAAAGGTAAGAAAAACCACCAATAAGCATCTCTACAGTTCACTTATGAACATCTTGTTTGTTTAATCAAATAAAATCTGTGGATTATGCCAAGACTCCCAGAAGTCACTACAACTGGCCAAGAAATAGTCCCACACATAATGCTGCTAATTTACACTTTTTTTGTTTTATATGGATTAAACAAATGAGATATAGCATGTTAATTAGTGAGCTTTACTGGTGCTGGTAGGTTGAATTTGTATCCTTTGGACAGAGCCAGACTACCAGTTTGCCCTCTGTTTCCAGTCTTAATGCTAAGCTAAGCTAACCAACTGCTGGCTCCGAATTCATACTGAACGAAAGCTATGAGGTATCAATCTTTTAAATCATTAAATTCAATCAATCTAAATGTTGCTAAGAAAATTAATAGTCATATAAACCTAAAATGTTGAACTATTGCTTGAAAGGGAAAATCAGTTTTTGTGATAAATAAAAAATTTTTGGAGGGCATTTGTGCCTTTATTAGACAGTATGACAGCGAAGAATCACACAGGAAATCTGGTTCACTTACTAGAACTGAACCACGGACATTGCAGTTATGTGGCATGAGCAGTAACCATTCAGCTACTAATGCATGCCAAACAATAGTATTAATAATAATAATAAGAATAAGAATAAGAATAAGAATAAGAATAAGAAGATAAGAATAATTAATTACACTGACAAAATGGTAATATATGGTCAGTCACCAGTTAATAAAAACATAAGATGGTTTGGTTTAGTGTTCGTGAACTGTTCTGAATCTAGTCATCTATTCACAATGTTCACACTTGGCCTGTAAAATACTGTTTCCATGTATCTTGGTTTGTTTTTCATTCTTCCACGTGGATATACAGTAACACTAATTAAAAACAGACAGACAACTACTGATTGGTTCCCTGCTATCACAACAACCCACAGTCCATCACCGTCCATTTCAAGGACATGGACTGAGCCAATGGACTTGAATAAGATAACAGACCCGGAATGGTCCATTGTGACTGGTGGGGGAGTACCTTGAGTGTGTAGATGTTTGTGTATACAGATTAAACTGACATTGTGGAGTTCAGCCACTAAAGAAAGGAGCTTCATAATGAATTATTGTCACAGTGGGGATAGTTTCTTAGAAAAACTGGGAAGACCATCAGGTTTGATGATAATCATTGTCCAATTAGCATATTTTAGCATATATCTGCATATATTTAACACACTAAGCAGTGTAATACAGGAAGAGCATTTTAACAACAGCTGTGTAGGGTGTGGTGAGGCTTCATCCTCGTGTTGGCAGAGCTGGTTAATCATGATTCAAAGATGGAGTGTATGGAGGACAACGTAAAAATCAAGGAAGCCAAAAAACTAGAGCCAAACCAATATGGGATTTTTGAGACGATTCCAATATTAGAGGGGAAAAATTCACTGTTTACCAACATAGTGGCCAATAGATTAAATATTTGAGCCGGAATGAAAATAAACCTTATCTGTGTGGATTATGCATCAATTTTGCACTGATATGACTATGCAAAGATAGCCAGAAGGCTGCCTACCTACACAACTAACTCTATTAAAGAACATTTAAATGTAATACAAGGACTTTTTAACTGGTTATGAAAGGGTCTCAATTTAATAGTGATGGCTTCTGTATGACACAAACCAAACCCAAGAGCCATGCAAAAGTGAGAAGATTTTGTTTTTCTGTTCATGATTCTTTTCCCTCTCTTCCTCTTTGCCTTCTCCTGATTCATCACTCCCCTCCTTTCCTTTTTAAGGATCTCCCATGGACCCCTTTTATTTCCATCTTTTTGCTTCACTCTTTATCATCTTAGAGAAGTCTAAGAAGTCCAAGAAGTAGGCTAGTAGGCTAATGGCACACAGATACAACGCTGATGGTAAAGAATGAGACTAATAGCTCACACAGTTCGGACTTTGTATATCTAACAGGACAGAATCTCACTGCACACACACATGCACACACTACGCTCACACGTTGTGAGACTCCACCACCCACTCCAGCATAATACGCTATTTTTAACTCCCCTCCTGCCTCGTTCCAACAGTCGCCTAATTGCCAGTACATGTCCTTCATATGCACAGATAAGGAATAAAAGCAAACTAAGCTAAAACACATGCACATAATGTACAGTTTGCACAAGCCAGCTAATGCACATGTAAGACCAAAACATCCATTACTGTAAGTGGTGCCATGGCAAACCAAATTACACACACACACAGCTGACACCAGCAACTACACCCACAGACCCATGTTTAAACAGGCATTAACATGTGTAGAGTAACGCACACAACCACCAAAACAGCCATTTGTAGTCATCAGTGATCAGCAAATGATGCACAGACACATGCACAAACACACAGGGTCTTACAGCGATGCGGAGCAGGGTAGCCCTGACGGCGGCCCATCGGTCCAGTCGTCTGTCGATGACCAGGATGAAACCCACTCCCGATGCTGCAACGCTGCAGGAAAGAAGCACACACTGTTATTACTGCCAGGGAAACCACTTTTCTATGTGTGTGTGTGTGTGGTGTGTGTGTGTGTGTGTGTGTGTGTTTGCAAACCCCCAGGTTTAAGTAGAAATTCTACAGGTCTTAACATCAGGTCAAACTACTGTTTGTGGCACCACCATTTAAGTCTCAAACAAGTGGAAACTTTATGGAGCAAATGGATGTGCATGTTTGGCCTCAAACCAGGTGTCCCATAAGTGAAGCTGCAGGAACTCCCCAGCTAATCATTTTATGCCTCCAACTAATTGAACATGATCCATGCATTGATGCCTTAATCACTAAGAACACTATAAGTATTATACTGTATCATATATACTAATAAGAATGACTCTAATCCTCAAAATAAAGATTGCACATTTTCAAAAATATCTCCATCTTTGGTTGCTGATCCCCATTGCTATTGTAATTCTGCACTGCATTTCCCCAGAGATCATATTGTCTCCTCCAACCAGTGTGGCCCCGCCGATGTGATTCAACCAACAATCCATTAATCTAACTATTAATTTTCAGTTTACTGTACAGTAAAGTGCTGGCCACTCACTTGCCTGGTTACAGCTTTTAAGCTGAAGTTCCGATTAGCTTCAGGTTGGGTCCACTATAAGTTGACACATAATATTATAGTATGCTATATACATATGTATATATATTATATAGTTATATACACATGTTATACATAGCATACATATATAGTATTATATATATTATATATATGATATTATATATAGGCTATTATTTAATTTATAAAAATTCATATAAACAAGTTGACAGGACTTTGGTGGTCTTTGCTGGTCTTCAAGGTCTTCATTTTGGAATTAAAAAGCAATGGTAGGGAAAAGTTAAAACCCTTGGTACCCAACCCCTGTCTGTTCAAATCATTTGTCCATCAGTGATGAATTTTATGAGAGCGGCCTTGTGATTTACGCATTGGCAACCTTCTCTGTGATAATTATGTGTGTGTGTGGTGTTGATATATGAAAATCTTGGCCATTCCATGATCCACCCAGGCCAGTGCCATAATGTAGGCAGGCCCTCAATCTAAGCTAATGTAGTGCGTGTGTGTGTTGTGTGTGTGTGTGTGTGTGTGTGTTTGTGTTGTGTGTGTGAATGCAGTATTTTATCAGTCAAAGGTCGCTGACATGCATCTGACACTTAAAACCACAAGCAA